ACGAGTAGAAGGAGGAGGAGAGGCGTACGAGTACTACTACGACTAAACGGGAAGTAGTAGCAGTAAAAGTAGTACTGATGGTAGTAGTGGTAACAGTGAAGTAGTAGTTGTATTTGGCGGGAGTGAACGAGTGAAGTGTAGTTGAAGTGGGTGTGGTGGTAACAGCGAAGTGAAGTATAGTTGTAGTGGGTGGATGGTTGTAGTGGTAACAGTGAAGTGTAGTTGCAGTGGGTGTAGTGGTAACAGTCAAATACGGCGGATGCCTTGGAGAAGGAATCAAGGGGTCGGCCGTGGGTATGGCCGCCGCTGGCTATTCAAAATGTGGCCCGGGAATGGAGTTCTGGGAACTCGAAGAGCACGAAGTGGCCTACAGTTGGCTCCGGGCATCCAAAATGTGGCCCGGGAATGGAGTTCTGAGAACTCGAAGAGCACGAAGTGTGTGACTGTTGCATCCGGTCCTCCAGAATGTGGCCCGGGAATGGCGTTCTGGGAACTCGAAGAGCACGAAAAGTGTGACTGTTGCATCTGGTTATTCTAAATGTGGCCCGGGAATGGCGTTCTGGGATGTCGAAGAGCACGAAGTGTGTGACTGTTGCATCCGGGTATTCAGAATGTGGCCTGGGAATGGAGTTCTGGGAAGTCGAAGAGCACGAAGTGTGTGACTGTTGGTGATAAACGAGCCCGGCACCCTGCCGCCCGGCAACTCCCCAACACCTGCCCGGACCCCCCTGTGGAGTGATCTGTGAGCTCTTTTGAGACCACTAGAAACCTATCAGTCTTCGCTGTTAGGTAAAAAACAAGAAAAGAAAAACAACAAGAAACAAAAAAAACAAAAAAAACAAAACTCGCCCGCAGACTATTCATTGACTATTCTCGAATGCTCCTCCTGCAGAGGGACACGCCCGACTTGAGCCTGGCCCCGCCCGACCTGGGCACCTGCCAGGACGCGCCTCCCGGGCTGCCCTGGGGGCGTGCGCCCGAGAATGCCCCGGCGGCCACGGCGCTCCGAGAGGCGCCACCTCCGAGAGGCGCGCCTCCAGGCGCGCTGCTGCGCAGAGATCCGATGGCCCCCGGACCCCCTCGGGCAAGGAAAAGATCGTGGCGGTGGGGTTCTCGACGTTTTCCTGTATAATTTGCAGGGACCGCGCCCCAGACTTACCTTTGACGCCTCCTGCGCTTTCGCTTGCGGCCGCGACAAAAAATTCTCGACGGCTTCGGCCCCTCGTGACCCTTGCCCGGCCGCGGGACCGTAACAAAAACGACTCGGGATGAGAAACTGGCCTCGGGGAATGGGTCGAGACCCTTGGGGGTCGACTTAAGTCGGGCCTGTCCCCCTGCAGGGGGACTTTCGACGAAAAATTAAAAATACACCAACAAAAATACCCCAAGAAGGTCACACAATATTCAAGTATAATTTGTAGGGACCGCGCCCTGGACTTACCTTTGACGCCTCCTGCGCTTTCGCTTGCGGCCGCGACAAAAAAATCTCGACGGTTTCCTCTCGTGACCCTTCCCGGGCCGCGGGGCCGTAAAAAGAACGACTCGGGATGAAAGACTGGCCTCGGGGAATGGGTCGAGACCCCTGGGGGTCGACGTCGTGAACAAAGCATGGCGTCGGGGGTCTGGGTCGGGCCAGGTCGATCTGTGCTGCAGGCTGGGCGAAGTCGCCGGTTGTGGAGAACTCGCGACGCCAGGATCAGAGGGGCCGGGCCCAGGAGGACACGAACAAAACTATACAGATCCCCGGATCCCCCCCAATCTGCCAACACTTCCTGCGCTTACCTCTTCCCCTCCCTTTCCTGCACTTCCGAAGATCTTCGTGAGATTCCGCGCTGACGTATATTTTACGTCAGATTAAACTCCCTCCTGAAGGCTCTCAAGGTCTTTTGTCTTTTTGACATGCGGGGCCCCCGGAAGTCCTGCAGGCCCGTCGCACCCGCGCCCGGGCCGCCTCCGGTCCCCGCCGAAAGCGGGCAGCTGGGAGGGGGGGACCGCCTCCGAGGCTGCCTGCGCGCAGCCCCACGCCCCACAGGCGAGGACCCCGTGCCGCCGGGCCGAGCAGCAAAATGCTGCGGGGGGGCAAGAGGGATGAAGATAAGGAGGACGACGACGACGACGACGACGACGACGCCGACGACGACGACGACGACGCCGACGACGACGCCGACGACGACGACGATAACGACGATAACGACGGTAACGACGATAACGACGATATCGACGACGACGACGACGACGACGACGACGAGGACGACGCCGCCGCCGCCGCCGACGACGACGACGACGACGAAGACAGCGACGACGATTGCGACGGCGAAGGGACGGCGACAGCAACGTCGGCGGCAGCGACAACGAGGGGGAGAGGGAGCAAGAGGAGCAGAAGCAGGAGGAGGAGCAGAACGTGAAGGAGCAAGAGGAGGAAGGAAGCTTCCTGATGCTTTCAAACTCTTCGGACGCTGCTGGACGTTCCTGGAGGTCTCCAGAGGATGACATAGGCTCGGAGGCGTCCGACTGTTTCGAAGGCGAGGGACGCAACCCCACCTCAGAGACTGCTTCGACAGCGCCCACCTTCCCACGACTCCGACTGGCCAAACACGGAGAGCGGCTGGGCCAGCCTTCAGACGTGCAGCCAGCTGTCGGAGGACGACTCCGCATGCTACCGAGCGTAACGGCGGGTAAAGCACGCCAGTAAGGCCTCGGGGTTCTCATTCTCAAGGAGGTGGAGGACAAGAAAGTCACCGCCGAGGAGAGGGCCGACGAGGTGGGATTGGAGTCCTGGGGCAGGTGCGCGCCCGAGCCCTTTGTTGTCGAGCGGGCCGCCGCGTCGCCGCCGCTGCTCGGGCGCCGCGCACTCGCAGCGCCCAGCCCGATCTGTTACCGTGATTCGAGCAGCCGGTGCCCATGGCCCACGACTTGGAGGCCTGGAAATTGGCACCAACACCAGCCCAGGGGGTTGCCTCCACAGGGGGAAGATGATCCTAGATTTCGGTGTTGGTGGCAATACTTCAGCCACCCTGGACGCCAGAACATTACCACCATCACCGAGATCGGGATCGTCTTCCCTCGGTGGAGGCACACCGCCGATCTTGGTGTTGGTGTCAACCTCTAGGCCTGCGATCGGCGATGCATCGGCGATGCACCAGCGATGCGTCGTCGACGTCGGCGATGCGCCGGCGACGTCGGCGTGGAGAACATCGGGCTCCACATCGAGCCCCATCGCCGATGCAATCGGCGAGGCGGCGCGGTCCCCCGGCCCCATCTACTCGGACCCCATCCAGGAGGCCAAGAGCATTGCCCGCACAAGACACCACGACGCGTCTTTGAGGCAGCGGCCGCGGGGGATCAGGCAGCGTTCGGGCAGCGGCGGGACGCACAGGGGGCAACCTGCGGCACGAGAGAAAGGCCGGGGAGGGCGCGAGCGCGCGCGGCGCAAGGAGGGGCGGAGGAGGGCCCGGGGGGAAAGAGAGCCTCGCTCAGGCCATGTAAAGCCTTCACGTGAATACCACACCACACACATGTACATATAGATGTACATATGAAACATCTTTACATATAAATATATATATACACACACATATATATAGATATAGCTATATAGATATGTATATATAAAAATATATGTGTGTTTGCATATCTGTGTATATATATATATATATATATATATGTGTGTGTCGGCGTCGCGGAAGGGAAAAGAAAGACTAGATGGAAAGGAGAGGATGAGGACGAGAGAAAGAGAGAGAGAGAGAGAAAGAGACAACAAACAAAGACTTGGTCACCAGCGGGGGGGAGATCCAGGTACTCACCCCCCGGAGATCCACAGGAGGCCTCCGAGTGCAACCGCTGGGAGACTGGCCTCTCGCTCCACGGACGAGCCCTCCTCGTGCGCGCTCCGTAGTTTTGTTGGCCGGCCTGCGCCGCGCTGCCTCGCAGGTGCCCCATCGCAGCAAGATGCAGCAGGACGCGCCGCTCCTGGGCTGCGGCCAGTCAGGCCTGCGCAAGCACAGGGGAGACAACCTCACGCCGGGTCCACGCAGGCTGCCGTGCCGGATTGCGCCTTAAGCGAACCTTAAAGGTGCCAGCCTCGAGATGTCGAGGCGCCTGGGACGGGGGGGCAAAAGAGTCGAGGCCAGCATCGAGATAACGGCTACAAGAGACTGGGAGGACGTGGGAGGAGGACGATGAAGAGGCGCAGTAGCACTAGCAGCAGGAGCGAGCAGAAGATAACCATAATTGCAACGAGAGTCACAAAACTCGGAAGAGGAGGGCAAAACAGAGGGAGGAAGAAAGACCGTGCAGTATCCGGCGCATTCGCAACAGAGAACGGGAAAAAGCAGCCTTGTGAGCAGAAACGCTACCCTCATGCCTTCGTTGGCCTGACGTCAAGTGGCGCGCCACCTCCTCGGCGGCTCCTTGCGCGTTTTGACTTCGATCGCAGGCAGGCTCACGTGCCTGGACAGTCCGAGCACGGCGTTCTTGCGGCGGACAGCCTCGGTGATCAAGCTCTTGTCTGTGTACATGACCTTGCTCTTCGAGTGCGGCCGCTTCGCGGACGCCTTCCGACGCCCCAAAGCAGTGGCCCGCCCGAGCCCTGTGGGCCTCCGGAGGGGTGCCCTGGAGTCCGTGGGGGCCCCCTTGGAAAGCAGGGGGGCCATCTTGGGCCAGGGACCCCTCTGGCAGCACCCGATCGGCTTCGCGCAGGAGGGACCCCAGGACGTTTTTTTTTTTTTTTTTTTTTTTTTTTTTTTTTTTTTTTTTTTTTTTTTTTTTTTTTTTTTTTTTAAAAAAAAAAAAAAAAAAAAAAAAAAAAAAAAAAAAAAAAAAAAAAAAAAAACAAAAAAAAAAAAAAAAAAAAAAAAACGTTCCCAATATATTTGATCTATGTTTGAATACTCCTCCTGTATAGGGACACGCCCGACTTAGTGCTGGGGTACCCCTGTGGGCCCGCACCGAACCCAGACATGCGATGTCCTGATTTGTTCATAGGGAACCAAACAAAGACATAAACATAACAGCTCGGAGGTCCGCGCGGATATCTCGGACCGGCGTTGGACCCCCTTCCTTGGCGCGAGGAGCGCGCCAGAGGCGGCGCTGGAGGCACCGCCAGGGGGCTCCAGCGCCGATCCGAGGTATCCGCGCGGACCTCCGAGTTTTTATATTTCTGCCATTTCTTGGTTCCCTAGGTCAGCACGGGGCCCCCAAAAGTCCAAACTCTTTCCCCCGGGCCGGCTTTTCATCCTGGGTCGCTTTTTGAAGGGGCCCGGGGCCCGGCGAGGGCCCCCGGAGGCCGAAAACAGCAAAAGAAGGCCCGTCCGAGTCCTGTCAAAGCGCGAGCCGAGCATGTCTGCAAAGGTCGCTCCGACGAAGGGCCGCTCGTGGCCGACCCAGATCTTGGATACCGAATTTGTTCGGTCGCGATCGGTAGCGACCGATCGGCACTCCAGATCTGTCGCGACCGATCGCGACCGATCCCAAAATCGGTCGCGACTGGTCGCCACCCATCGCGACCGATGTTGAAGCAAATCGGTCGCGACCGATACCGAAATTTGGCGCAAAATCGGTAGAGACCGATCTCGTCAGTCGCGACTGGAAAACTCCAGTATCCAATGATCAGGGCCTGGGGAACTGAAGTCCTGGAGCCTGTTCTTTCAGTATTCGCCATAACGGGCGGCGTGATCGAGGGAGGGGTGGAAGCGGAGCCCGTCCCCCCCGATCACATCATGGCGGGGGGCGGCGGAAATCGGTTCGGAAATCCTCGAAGAATCCGCAGGGAATCTTTGCAAATGTGGGCAAATAACGTAGAGACCGATACCGAAATTTGAAGCAAAATCGGTAGAGACCGATCTCGTCGGTCGCGACTGGAAAACTCCAGTATCCAGGGATCGGCGAGCCACGCAAGAGTGGCTCTGGGCAGGAGTGACCTTCGCTGCACGGCTCGCTCGGGGCCGCCGGGGGGGCAGCGCGCAAGACGCTGCTGTCGCCTCGCGCTCGGCGAAAGGCCGGAGAAGGAGGAGGAGGAGGAGGAGGAGGAGGAATAGGAGGAGGAGGAGGAGGAGAGGAGGAGGAGGAGGCGCAGGAGGAGGAGGCTGAGGAGGAGGAGGAGAGGAGAGAGAGGTGGAGGCGGGAAATGAGGAGGAGGAGGAAGAAGGAGAGAGGGCGGGGGAGGAGGAGGAGAAAGGGAGGAGGAGGAGAGGAGGGAGGAGGAGGGGAGTAGGATGAGAGAGGCGAGGGAGGAGAGGAGGAGGGAGGAGGAGGAGGAGAAGGAGAAGGAGGCGCAGGGAGGAGGAGACTGAGGAGTGAGGAGAGGAGAGGAGGAGCGGAGCAGAGAAGGAGAGGGTGAAGGGAGGGAGGAGGGATGAGGGAGGAGGAGGAGGTGGGGGGAGGAGGAAAGAGTGACGGAGAGATGGAGAGGAGGAGGGAGGAGGAGGAGGGGGGTAGGAAGAGAGGTAGGAGGGAGGAGAGGAGGCGCCCGCGCCGCAGGAGGGATGAGACTGCGGAGGCGGATGCTGGGAAGGTAGGAAAGGTGGGCGGAGCAGAGAGATGAGGCTGAGATGAGAGGACTGCTTAGAGGAGGCGGGCAGGAGGGCTGTGTCTGGCGGCTTCTTCGTGTCATCGGCTCGCTTCTTCTTTCTTCTTCTTGAGGAGGAGGAGGAGAAGGAGGCGCAGGGAGGAGGAACTGAGGAGGGAGGAGGAGGAGGAGGAGGGCGGGAGAGGAGCAGGAGGAGGAGGGTGACAGGATTAGGTAGGAGGAAGGAGGAGGAGGAGGGAGGAGGAGTCGACCCGACCAGTCGACGTCCCCCCGTTGGCGCCCGGCCGCTCGTGCCTCGGCGTGGCCCCCGCCGCCGTCCGCCACCCTGCCCTGCGCCTTCGGCGGGGTCCCCGCCGGGCCAACGACACACCACAGCGGGCCGCTGCCAAGAACTCGGGAGAGGCGGGGGCTGCAAAAAGCGGGGAGCAGCAGCACAGGGCCGGCACGACCTGTCTGCTCTCCTGCCACCGCCGAAAATTCCAATCCCGCACCCACCCCCCCCCGCCCCCCCGCATTTTATCCACCAGGCCAACACCTCCTCCTCCTCCTCCTCCTCCTCCGCCTCCTGCTCCTCCTCCTCATCCTCCTCCTCCTTCCCCCTTCCTCCTTCTCCTCCTACGCCTCCTCCTCCTCCTCCCTCCCCCTCCTCCTCCTCTTCTTCCTCCTCCTCCTCCTCCTCCTCCTCCTCCTCTTCTTCTTTTTTTCTTCTTCGTATTATTATTATTATTAGTATTCTTATTATTCTTCTTCTTATGCTTATTATTATTATTCTTCTTATTGTTCTTATTATTATTCTTCTTATTATTCTTGATATTATTCTTATTATTATTATTATTATTCTTCTTCTTATTATTATTCTTCTTATTATTATTGTTCTTATTATTATTATTATTAGTCTTCTTCTTATTGTGTTTCTTATTCTTCTTCTTCTTCTTCTTCCTCCTCCTCCTCCTCCTCCTCACTCCCTCCTCCTCCTCCTCCTCCTCCCCTCCTCCTCCTCCTCCTCCTCCTCCCCCTTGGGACTTCACTCTGGAGCCCGACCACGCCCCCCCACCCCTCCCCGAAGACGCCCCCGAGCCGAAATCAACAAGAAGCACGTCCAGCTCGTCTCATCATCATCATCATCATCATCATCATCATCATCATCATCATCATCATCATCATCATCATCATCATCATCATCATCATCCATCATCAGCATCATCACAATCATCATCAGCATCATCATCATCATCATCAGCATCATCATCATCATCATCCTCATCATCATCATCATCACCGTCATCATCATCAGCAGCATCATCAACATCATCACCATCACCATCACCATCACCATCACCACCACCACCACCATCATCATCATCATCAGCATCATCATCATCACCATCACCATCACCATCACCATCACCACCACCACCACCATCATCATCACCACCATCATCATCATCATCATCATCATCAGCATCGTCATAATCATGATCATCACCATCACCATCACCACCACCACCACCACCATCATCATCATCAGCAGCATCATCATCCTCGTCAGCATCATCAGCATCATTATCATCATCAGCAGTATCGTCATCATCAGCATGAGCATCATCGTCATCATCATTATCAGCATCAGCATCAGCAAAAGAATCATCAGTACCAGCGTCATCATCATCATCATCATCATCATCATGATCATCATCGTCAGCATCATTATGAGAATAATCATCATCAGCATCATCATCATCACCATCACCACCGCCACCATCATCATCAGCGCATCATCAGCATCTTCATCATCAGCATCATCAGCATCGTCATCATCATCATCATCATTATCATCAACATCATCATCATCCTCATCAGCAGCATCACCATCGTCATTTATCATCATCATCCTCATCATCAGCAGTATCATCATCGGCATCATCATCATCATCACCACCACTATCAGCATCATCATCCTCACCACAATCATCACCATCAGAATCAGTATCAGCATCAACATCATCGGCAGCAGCATCATCATGATATTCATCATCACCATCATCATCAGCATCATCAGCATCGACATCATCATCAGCATCATCACCAGCATCAGTATCATTACCAGCATCATCATCAGCATCACCATCGTCATCGTCATCGTCATCATCAGCATCAGCCCCAGCATCGTCATCAGCCTCATCATCAGCATCAGCAGCATCGTCGTCATCATCATTGTCAGCATCATCATCATCATCATCATCATCATCATCATCAGTATCATCATCATCACCATCATCATCATCATCATCATCATCATCATCATCATCATCATAAGCATCTCCATCACCAGCATCATCATCAGCAGCATAGTCGTTGTCATCATCAGCGTCGTCATCACAACCAGCACCATCATCATCATCATCATCATCATCATCAGAATCAGCATCATCATCGTTATCGTCAGCAGCATCATCAGCATCATCAGAAACATCAGCATCAGCATCAGCATCATCATAATCAGCATCCTCATCATCAACATCATCAGTTGCATCATCAACCACCTCATCATCGTCATCGTCATCATTATCAGCCTCATCATTATCATTGTCATCCTCATCATCATCATCAGCATAATCATTCACAGCATCATCAGCAGCATCATCATCATAGACAACAGCAACAACAACATCACCACCACCACCGACGCCAACACCATCATCATCATAATCGCAGGCTCATCAGGATCATCATTTGCAGCAGCAGCATCATCAACATCAGCATCATAATCCGCGTCCTCGTCAGCATCCACATTAGCATCAGCATCAGTATCAACATCGCAATCAGCATGATCATCATCATTATCATCATCATCATCATCATCAGCAGCATCATCATCATCATTTGTATCATCAGCATCATCCTCGTCATCAGCATCATCATCGCCATCAGCATCATCATCGACATCATCATCATCACCATCATCACTTCTTCTTCATCATCATCATCATCATCATCATCATCATCATCATCCGTATCATCATCATCGTCATCATCATCAGCAGCAGCATCATCACCATTATCATCAACACCAGTATCATGTTCATCACCATCGTCATCGTCATCGTAATCATCAGCATCAGCAGCAGCAGCAACAGCATCATCATGATCATCCTCATCATCGTCCCCCTCTTCGTCACCCTCCTGGTCCAGGTCATCATCATCCTCGGCGTCGTCATTATCAGCATCATCAGCATCACCGGTATTATCATCATCAGCAGCATCATCATCGTCGTCGTTGTCATCGTCGTCAACATCATCACCACCACCACCATCATCATCATCACCACCACCATCACCATCGCCGTCAGCATCATCATCAGCAGCAGAATCATCGTTATTAGCATCAGCATCATCAGCAGCAGCAGCAGCATCAGCGTCATCATCATCATCATCATCATCATCATCATCATCATCATCATCCTCATCATCATCATCCTCCTCGTCGTCGTCGTCGTCGTCGTTATCAGCATACTCCTGCCACCCCTCAACCCCCACCCCCCCACCACCAACCAACCACCCCCACCTCCAACCCTCCCCCTGCGTCTCCTTCTCCTTACCTGCGCCTTCACGATAACTAACTCCCCCCTGCCACACCACAAGTCGTGTCTCTAGGGCGGGCCAAGCGTTTAGCCTCAGACCACCTCCCCGCTCACGACACTAAAACTTGAAAAATTATACGGGTGGAGGGTGGTGCATCTTCGAATTGGGGCTCTCGCAAAGGCGCCACAAACGGATAGAAAGAGGTACAGCTTCGGAATGGGTATCTCGCCTGAGACTTCCTCCGGCAAAATAAGGCTCTCGGCTATGACCTTGTCACAGCAATGGCCTGAAACCTAAAAGTTGTGCAGCAGCTGCACGGATGGCGGGCGGCTCTTCTTCACAGTGGGGCTGTCGCTGCGAGCCTCCTCGAACTGGCCAACCAAGCCGTGCCGCATGCCTGCCATACAGCCGAACATATGACCAAACAACCATCCTTTTAGAGATCCGGGCCAGCTTCCAGGAAGTTACTAGAGGCAAGCCTGGGCCAAGTTCTGATGATGACGCTGGAGGGGCGAAAACGCTGAAGAAGCTGGACCAGCCTTCCAGCAAGTCGGTTCAGAAGCGCGGGCCCAAATGTTCGAGAGGAGGTGTCTTACAATGCAGGCCAGCCCATAAGAAAAACGCAACACACACACACACCAAAAAAAAACCTGAGACCCCAGGACGTCCGCTGGTTTTTGGTGTGGGAGCGTCACGCTCCCCATCGCAAAAACCATCGAAACCAAGGAAACCCAGGGCAACCTGGAGGCAGGCAGGGTGGTTCTAGGCATGGGCCCCCGCTGCAACCACAGGCTCGACCGAAGTCACAGACGGCGGGCGGCTTCCTTCAAAACAGAGGTCCCCGCCTGAACTGCGGGCCAGGAGGGGGGAGGAGGGGGAGGAGGAGGAGGAGGAGGAGGAGGAGGAGGAGGAGGAGGAGGAGGAGGAGCAGGACGAGGAGGAGGAAGAGGAGGAGGAGGAGGAAAAGGAGGAGGAGAAGGAGGATCATGATGGACTGGGGAGAATGAAGGAAGAGGAGCAGCATCTGACCAGGGGGGCGCCTCGCGCAGGGCACAAGAGCGAGCGCCTGCAGGGACTCACGAGGAGGCGACGGGACAGGGGAGGGTGCCCTGCAAGCTCGTGGCCACCCTCCCAGCACCCATCAGCATGTTCGTCATTGTCGTCACCGCCAGACATCACCACCACCACCACCATCATCTGGATCATCATCATCATCATCATCATCATCATCATCATCATCATCATCATCATCATCATCAGCATCAGCATCATCATCATCGTCAGCATCATCAGCATCAGCTTCATCATCATCATCATCATCAGCAGCAGCATCATCAGCAGCATCAGCATCATCACCATCATCATCAGCATCATCATCAGCATCATCATATTATCAGCAGCAGAATCATCATCGTCATCATCGTCCTGGCCATCACACTCGCCATCCACATCAGCACCCGTACCATCAGCACCAAACTCATCGAGGTCGGCATCACCACCGCCACCACCACCACCACCATCATCATCACAACCACCACCACCACCACCACCACCACCATAATCATCATCACCACCACCACCATCATCATCCTCACAATCGTCATCATCACCACCACCACGGAACCAGTCACGCTGTGCGACGAGTGGGACCATGTGTATTGTGTCGACCATGTGTGGAGCCCACTCGTCGACCACCGCATCACACATCACCAGGGCTTCCCTCATGAAGCCTTCATCTGGAGTTCAGAAATATCGCCTCCAGCAGTTGATGGACGGGCGACCCTCTTCCTCCCCGCGGAACTCTGGCAGAAAAGAGACCTCATCAGCATCAGCATCCTCATCCTCATCATCTTCCTCTGCCCCATCCTCCTTGCCTCTCTCCTCCTCCCTCTTCCTCCTTCACCCCAAGCGTTGACCCCCTCCGCCGTCCAGTCCTCCGCCCCCCGGCCCCCACTCCGCGAAGCGGCCCAGGAAGCGTTCACCCAGCCGAGCCTGGACTCGGTCATGCTGGCCGGCCGGCGATTGGTGTCGCCGTCCGCCTACGGCTGGGGCAATCCTCCTCCTCCTCCTCCTCCTCCTCCTCTTCCTCCTCCTCTTCCTCCTCCTCTTCCTCCTCCTCCTCTTCCTCCTCCTCCTCCTCTCTTCCTCCTCCTCATCTTCCTCCTCCTCCTAGCAACTCCTCGGCCAACCTGGGAATGGCAATGCTGATGCGAGCGGACATTTAGGAGGTGTGAGGCCCGCGGCTTCAGCTACAGCACCCGCTGAGTCACGCGCGCACGATGACGTTCTTCTCGTCTTTTTCGCTCTCGTCCTCGCTTTCTCCTCCTTCCCCTTGTCATCGAGAGTGCGACGCAGACCACACACCCCAGGGCGTGCTCCGAGCACCTCGAGGAGCGCACAGAGAGCCCGACGTCATCGTCCACTGCACTCGGCGCAGGGCGGTGACGACATGTGGGAGAGGAGCAGTGGCAGCAGGCCCTAGCGCCACTCACCGTGGAGTTCGACGTTACGATTCGACGCTGCGACCCACCGAAATTGGAGCCCCATGCCGTCAGCCAGTGCGGACACCGTGGCGTGCGGGGAAACGGCGGGCAGAGGCTGGGGGCTCTGGCTCAGCTCTGCGAGAAGCAGGAGGCGGAGCTGGAGCCCAAGCTGGTCAGCCACATCCCCAATGTCACCAGCTGCAGTGCTGGGGTCAGGAAGGGTTGTGCCCACCGAGCGGTGGGCGTTCCCGCCGCTACGCTGCGAGAGGCGGGAGGCGAAGCCGAAGCCCGAGCTAGTCGGGACCAGCGCTGACCACAGCGAGTGCGATAAGGAAGAGCAGTGGTAGCGGGAGCTGTCGCGACTCACCGAGGACTTCGACGTTGTGGTCCGACGTGTTGGAGCCAAATGCCATCAGCCACAGTGCGGGCATCGCGGCATGCGAAAACTGCGAGCAGCGGCAGGAGGCTTCGGCTACCCTCTGCGAGAAGCACGAGGCGAAGCTGGAGCCCAATCTGAACCACCACAACGCTGGGTACGGCGTTGCCCGACATGTGAAGGGCGAGCCCGACGTCATCAGCTACGAGTACTGGGATCAGGGCACGAAGCGGGAACAAGAGGCGAAAGACGAGCCCAACGCCAGCAGCTACCACCGACGAGGCGCCAGAAGCTGGAGGCGAAGAAGGAGACCGAACAGCGAAGGACGAGCCCAACATCATCAGCTACAGCGATGGGATCAGGGTAAGAAGCTGGCGCCGACTGCGAAGGCCAAGCCCAACGCCATCGGCTACAACTGTCGAGGCGCGGGAACTGGAGGCGAAGATGGAGCCTGCCAGGTGAAGAACGAGCCCCAGGTCATCAGCTAGAGTGCTGGGATCAGGGCATGCCGCTGGAACGTGTCGCTACACAACGAGAGGCGGAAGACGATGCAGAGCCCAACGCAATCAGCTATAGCGCTGGGACTAGGGCGTGGGAGAAAGCCGAGCGGCGGGCAGACCCGCCGCAACTCTGCGAGAAGTTGGAGGCGAAGCTGAAGCACAAACTAGTCGGAGTCAACGCTGGGAACGGCGAGCGCGACTAGGGGGGCAGTGGCAGCAGGCTCTGACGCTACTCAACGAGAGGTGGAAAGCGAAGCAAAAGCCCGGCACCATCAACAACAACACTAGAAGACTGGCGTCGTCCGAGAAAAAGAAGTGGCAGCACTTTCTGTTACGGCTCACGTTTCGGGGGGGGGCACGAGCGTCCCGACTCAGCTACAACGCCGAGATCAGCCCGTGAGAGACGCGCAGCCGTGCACCGCAGGGCCTGCGTGAAGGGGGCACCTTTCTTCAGCTGGGCTGGAATCCAGCGCGTGGGAGAAGGTGCCGAAGGCAGCAAATCTGCTGGGCTGGCGCGGGGGGGAACCGATGCACCCAGTAGACCCGCGGTATCATCCATGAGGCGTTACTAACCGTCTTACGAGCTCTAATCCAGCACCAATCCTCCTTCTCCTCCTCCTCCTCCTCCTCCTCCTCCTCCTCCTCCTCCTCCTCCTCCTCCTCCTCCTCCTCCTCCTCCTCCTCCTCCTCCCACCCCACCTCCAATGGGCATCTGTCCGATCGGATAACGGGAGGCCTCCTCATCATCTGCCCCCGCCTCATCCTTCTTACCGCCTTGTGTCGTCTCCAGCATCCCCCTTCTCCTCCTCCTCCTCCCCATCCTCCTCCTCCTCCTCCTCCTCCTCCTCCTCCTCCTCCTCCTCCTCCTCCTCCCCCTCCTCCTCCTCCTCCTCCTCCTCCTCCTCATCCTCCTCCTCCTCCTCCTCCTCCTCCTCCTCCTCCTCCTCCTCCTCCTCCGGCTCCTCTCCCTCCGCGTTGCCCCGCGTATGCCGTCCATTTCTCTCCGTCTCTCGATGTTCCTACTTCTCCGCCTCCAGTTCGTCCTTCTCCTCATACTCCTCATCCTCATACTCCTCCTCCTCCTCCTCCTCCTCCTCCTCCTCCTCCTCCTCCTCCTCCTCCGCCTCCTCCTCCTCCCCTTCCTCCTCCACCTCCTCCTCCTCCTTCTCCTGATCTGGGAGTCTGTCCAGTCGGAAACTACTGCCCTCCTACCCCCGTTCAGCCCCCCATCCTCAGTTGCACACCGCCTCCCTCCTCTTCCCCTCCTCCTATACCCTCCCTCCGTGCCTTCGACGCGGTGGATGCCGACGGCAAGCGTGGAAGGAAAGGCTGGGCCTTGTACGGCTGGGGGCTGATCAAGTCGGGGTCTGGCGGGCAGATCATGGCGGCGTCGTTGGGCGCCTCCAGGATCAGCCTATCTCGGATGGTCCTCAAATTGCTACTTCGCGTCCAGGGCTGCACCCGTTTGCCAGAGCTGTCCGTTCACCCTCCACGTCTGTATCCCCACCTTCTCCTCTTCCTCCTCCTCCTCCTCCTCCTCCTCCTCCTCCTCCTCCTCCTCCTCCTCCTCCTCCTCCTCCTCCTCCTCCTATTCCCTACTATCACGAGTCTCACCATCAGAATCGTCGTCGCAATGGTCGTCCTCGTCATCCCCCTCGAGGCCATCATGACCGCCGTCTTCCTCCTCCGACATATATCCGTTGTTGGGTATACTGCAGTGGTACACAACTGTGCACGCACCGCCGCCACAACACAAAACTGGACTGCCCAATACCACACCACATGACCTTACTGAACAAGTTCTATGGCGGCGCATGTCATTATGCCAGCTTACACCTCGTGGGGCTACACTGCGCTGTATGCATGCATAAGTAATGCAATACACACGTGCGTGAATGCGTGATGCGCGAGCTCAAAAAAAGGGGCTTCGTCTGTGAGAATGTGTTCTGGGAGGGCCCCACTCACGAACACACAGCGCGCACCACACTGCGCACGGCGCTACCATCCGACCACCGCTACAAAGACTTCTGCGCCCGAGGAGCCTCAGCGAGGTGTGGTAGTGCAGGCGCATCAGGCGCTTCGCGTCACGGGTCGCCCTTTCCTCTCGGCTGCACGCAAGAGTGGCCCCAGGCAACATGGACATGTTGTGCGCGGCTCCAAGGGGGCGCGGGTGGGAGGAGGGCAAACCCAAGCGCGCAAGCCGCTGCCATCGCACCGCATTCGGCGATCAGGGGACCCCAGCGGGCCCGCACTAAAGGTCACTCTGGCGAACTTCGCTGTCCTGATACGGAACTCGCAAGCCAGAGCGTGTTGACACGGAGCTCAAGACGTAGACTTAGGTCGGGCATGTCCTGCTACAGGCTGATTAGGTACGAAAAATGAAAGCTAATCAGAAATATTCAAAACTAGTCAGAAGTAGTCGGGAAATCGTCCCCAGACTATGTTTGTGTATTCTTGCATACTCCTCCTGTAGAGGGACATGCCCGACTTCAACGGAGACTGGATAGGGTTCCACATGCGAACCCTCCCCCTCAGAAATCGTAGGGGGTAAGGGTAGGGTTCGCATGTGGCCCCCGATCCAATCTCCGTTTAAGTAGTCGGAAAATCGCCCCCAGAATATTTTTGTTTGTACTCTTGAATGCTCCTCCTGTAGAGGGACATGCCCGACTTAAACGTAGACTGGCCAGCGGTGGACAAAGCTCCCTTCAGTAAACCTCCCCTTAGTGAAAACGACCTGGGACCGCAACCGACGGACCTGGACCCGCAAAAACGACGGCCGCGACGCCCTCTCGTGAACCGAAAACGGCCAATTCTTTAATCGACGTGTCAGGGTAGGAGGTCTGTCCACCCCCGATAAACGGAGACTGGAAACGTGGGCCCGACATGACCACGAAAAAACACATCCCCAATCCCAAAAATCGCGGCTTCACCGAGGATTCGAAGATCGGCCAAAGACTTCGGGGGATGTTTTGCGTTCGTCGCCGTCGCCCTGGTACAACCCTACCCCAAAATCTCCCTCCCCGAAGCCTCGAGGCGCCTGCATTTTGTCTTGGCCCTCGCGTTTTTGGATTGGGCAACTGTTTTGGCTCAGGCCCGACGCGTTCGCCGACACGCGGCGCCGGCACGCTCCGGGGACGTTGCCATGTCCCCTCCGGACACACGGACGTTGCCGTGTCTGGGGCAGCACCGTGCTGGTCCGGGGAGGGCCCAGCGTGCTCCCAACAAGAACCCCCCCAGAAGGAGGAGGAGGAGGAGGAGGAGGAGGACGACGAAAACGGAGGAGGAGGAGGAGGAAGAAGAGGGGGAGGAGGAGGAGGAGGAGGAGGAGGAGGAGGAGGAGGAGGAGGAGGAGGAGGAGGTCTGTCCACCCCCGATCAACGGAGACTGGAGAAACCTGGGCCCGACGCGCTCGCCACACGCGCGGCGCCGGCACGCGCGCCGAGCCGGCACGCGGCGCGCGCCCGACGTCGCGACGCCTTTGGGGCACGGCACGCGCTGCGCTCCGGCGCACGTGCTGCGCTCCCCGGCACGGGCGAAGGGTCCGCCTCGCGCGCGGGGGCGACCCTACAGGGCAGGTTTTAATACATAGGATTTCTAATACATCTATATATATATATATGTAGGAATTTTAGTGCATGATTAATTGATGAATGAATCAATGCGTAAACTCAGCCTTGCATGTATGAATCAACCCTTTATTCTTAATACGTGGTCCGCACGCGGAGCATGTATTAAAACCGGCGCTGTATGGCACGAGTGACCTCTCGTGCGCGGCTTCGGGGACAGGGGGGGGGTCCCAGGCCCGAGCGCGCAGGACGCTGCCATCGCGCCCCCGTTCGGCCCTCCGGGGACCCCCATGGGCCAGCACCCAAAGGGTCCCTCCAGCGACGGGCCACTCTTGCGTGGCGGGCACAGGAAACCCTGACTACGAAATGATGCCATCCCTTGGGGGCGCATCTTCTACTTCAGCCGGCTTCCGCCGGCCGGCCGCCCGCCGCCCTCCGCTAGCGGCGGTGGCCTCGTTCTACCTCCGCCAGCTTCCGCCGGCCCTTCCTTTTTTCACAGCACTGCGCCCAAGTACCTTCGGAACGGACGCTTCGTGTAGGGCCTGGCCTGGTAAAAGTCAACCAGGAATCGGCGCGCGACATGGCAATTCATGTCGAGAGTGAAGGCCCTCGGAGGCTACGCGAGGGGGCGCCGGAGCGGGTATATGCAGAAAGGCGGTCGCCTCTCGAGCTCCGCAGTTCCACACCTACGCGCCCCCACCTCTGCGGAGGCGACCCACTGGCCTTCCGCCGCCTTCCGCTGAGGAAGAGGGAGGAGGAGGAGGAGGAGGAGGAGGAGGAGGAGGAGGAGGAGGAAGAAGAGTCCGTAGCCTTTGGCTCAAGCCGTTGCCTGGGGCCTTCGCCTTCCCTGGGGTTGGGGCTCAAGGTGGACAAGGGACCCGCACGACCCTCGATCAGAAGCCCTGGCCCAGGGTGAGGGCCATTCTCACTTACAAGATTTCGGTGCCCTCGCAGATTTTCCGAAGAGACGCGCAATGGCAGGAGGCTGGCATGACGCGTCTGTCTGGAAATGCACGCACTGCGGGTGCGGGAAGACCCCCATCAACGAGCACTGGTGCAAGCATTGCGAGCGGCACTGGAAGACGGGCAAGGCCAAGAAGCCCAAGGGCAAGGGCAAGGACCTGGGCACTCCTCCTGGTCTCGGTGGTCGTGCTGCCGTGCATGGTCCGCCACTTCAACCAGGCCTCGTCCAAGCATGGTCAGATCCAGTGCCAGAGCTCACAGTGCCAGAGTTGCAACAGCTGGTTCAGCTTGGCGAGAAGAGCAAAAACACCCAGATGGTCGAGTACTATCAGCAGGTGCTGGCCATCAGAGACAAGCAGCATGTGCCGCCCCAGATCCGAGCGGATCAAGCACATAAGTGCATCAAGCAGCTGGAGACAGACCTGGGCACCGAGTCGGCCCAGTTGGAGAAACTTCAGCAGCAGGTCAAGGAGCAGGGGGCGAAGGTCACTACACTACTGGACCAGATCGAGATGCAGGAGTGCATCTACAAGGAGGCGATCAAGGAATTGCACGCCGTCGTCGTGCCGCCTGTGCCGTCGGCCCCGCAGGCGCTGACCCTCAGCCTGGAAGCCATGCTGGAGGGCAAGCAGGAGCGGAGCCTCTCGTGCGGAGAGGACCTCTTCGGCCTGGCGGAGTTCGTGGATGTCGAGGAAACGGACAGAGAAGAGGCCCGCAAGCGCGAGGCTCAGCTCAAGGAGCAGTTCCAGACCCTCGCGAAGGCGATGTTCGGGGACCTTAAGCAGAAAGCGGAGCAGTATAAGGAGGAGCATGAGGAGCTCAAGACCAGATTGCAGTCGAAGCGGCGCCGCCAGGAGCCTGAGGCAACTGATGCTGCAGGCTCGGACCAGCCAGCACAGCAGGGCGCGGGCGCGGCAGCGGCCACGGGCAGCCCACAGCCGGCCATGGCTGAGCCGCCAGCGCAGTCTGGCGCCGCGGCGTCGGCGAAGGCGGCAGGCAAGGGCTTGGCGAAGACGGCGGAGGAGCTGCGCGAGCATGCGAAGCGCTTGGTGGGCAGCCATCCGACCTGTGATGGCAAGGGCCCAAGTGCTGGCAAAGGAGGCACGGCGGCTCCAGCATCAGGCACTTCGAGCGTTTAGCATGAGAGGAGTGGCGCAGCCAAAGAGTATCAGTCGAAGCAGTTCCTCAGCTAATACGACGTGGGAGATCACCACGGTGAGTACGTCAGGGTGGTCTGGTACGCTCGCGGCCCTGACAGATGATATTTTCAAGAGTTCATCAGTTCTCTGCATCCAGGAGCGCAGGGTCCTGAAGCCAAATGTTTCACAATCTGAGAAGTCAGCGGCCGACGAGGGTTGGAAGCTACGTCTTAGTTCTGCTGACCAGACGGACCTGGGGGGCGTCTAGGCAGGAGTTGCGGTAGGAGTTCGTCAGCACATAGGCGTCAGTGAGGCTGGGGGTGGAGCACGGCACCTTCACCATGCGCGATCAACGATTGTCTGGGTCAATGGTTGTGTGCGTGGAGGGGTCTATATGCGTTCACTTTATCTTCCTGACGGAGAAGGGGTCCAAGGAGCTAGGGACAAACAACTGCTTAATCAGCTGGGGGAGTTTCTCTATAGTTCTCAGAGGCCCTTTGTGATAGCTGCTGACTGGAACGACGTGCCCTCAGAGGTCCAGAAAATGCCTGCGTTGGGTAAACTTAGAGCCGTGGTTGTCAACTCGGGGAAGCCAACTTGCCGAGTAGGCAAAGAGTGGATGCGTCAGGCGTGGAGACTCAAGTAACAGGACACACTATCCAGTTTCACTTAGGCTAGGTACGACGGCACACCAGAGGACTCAGAAGGTGCTAAAGCTGCCAAAGCCTTTTCCGCTAGACAAGCCCACAAGTCCATCGCCTCCGCCACAGGACTGGACCCAGTTCGAGGGCAAGTTTGAACGGCTGCGACGGCAGCCATCGCATGTAGGTCTATCTGAGCTCTATGGTGAAATGTGTGACACCATGGAGCAGGAGTTGTGCGACGTGCTAGGCACCGAGGCAGCCGAGCGTGCTAAGTACTGTGGGAGTGGTACTAAGTTCCAGGTGGTCGAGAAGCCAGTTTTGCAGCAGCACGTTTCGGGACCTTTTCCACGGTGCAGTCTGGAGACCAGGACGCTCAGGAGATATCAGGTTTGGCTGGAGGAGCTGTCCTATCTTCATGGGAAGGAGCATTCTTGGGATTCAGCTGGAGTTCAGGATTTGGTTAGGAAGCTCGAGGCCCCCATAAAGGCGCTCAGCAGTCATCCCGAATGGGCGGGTTTTAGGAAGCGTTCAACTGCACGCCTCCGTCTCGGCGGCCGTTCGGGCCATTGCAGATACTGAGGAGTCCAGCGCCAGGACGAAGAAGACTCAGCAGTGGAGGCAAAGGGTGGATCAGAATCTCAAACAAGGAGGAGGAGGAGTGTTTCGGTGGACGAAGGAACATCTGGGATGGGTCCCTGATGGGGCTGGTCTGGATGGGGCCCCAGCTGGGCCTGTCGACACTGTGGAGGCCCTCTTGGAAGAGTGGAAGCACATATGGCGCGAAGGTGAACCATCCAGGTTGAGAGCCCAGGACCTCAACGCGCCGCTCGGGAGCCCCCTCCAGTGCCAATGGTATCAGAGGTTCGAGAAGCCCTTCAGAAGTTCAAGAAGAACGCGGCGATCGGGAGTGACGGCTGGAACCCAGAGAACTTGAAACAATTAAGTGATCAAGGCCTGGCTGTCTTTGCAGAGTTCTTATCAGCGGTGGAAACGTATCTCATTATACCAGAGCAGTGTAACCTGGCGCTCATTGCTTTTTTGGAGAAACCTGACGGTGGACACCGTCCGATCGGCATCTCGGCCACGTGCGTGCGGCTGCTCGGTCGCATTCGGCACGCAGAGGCCAAGAAGTGGGAGCGCGAGCATCACCTCGACTGTGTGTACGGCTCCAAAGGTAAGTCGTGTGAGCAGTCAGTGTGGAAGCAGGCGGCCCAAGCAGAGGCAGCAAATGCCATTGGTGCTTTCTCAGGTTCAGGGCTGATTGATCTTGAGAAGGCGTACGAAAAAATCCCGCATGAGGTGCTGTGGGCCGCTTGCCAGAAGCACAAGTTTAGTCTTCGACGCGCACGCCTGCTGATAACGGTGTACGGAGGGCCGAGGATGGTTAAGATCCGTGAGGTGGTTTCAAGTAGCATCTCGATCGCATGCTCGAGTATAGCTGGATGTTCGTTCGCTACGACGATGTTACGTGTTGTACTATATGACTCACTTGTGCACGTGCAAAAGTACTGGCCATCGTTATCCCTGTATGTCATGGTAGACGACATAACGAGATCGGCACTCGGTTCGGAGAAGTTCGTCAGAGATTCCCTGTCTAGAGCACTCCTAGCACTTTGCAAGCGACTGCGCAAGATGGAGTTTACAGTGTCTAGGAAGAAGTGCCAGATCGTCGCGTCGTCCAGCAAGTTGGCGCAGGATCTCGGCACCAACCTCAGGAGTTTAAATTTCAAGGTGTGTTTGAGTGTCAAGAACCTCGGGCACGACTTCAGCCAGCAGGTAAGGAAAGGCAAGAGAGTTCTGAAAGGTCGAGTGAACAACCTCCGCAAGAGGTCTCATCGGTTCCGAGCGCTCCGACACCACAGGCGTGGGCTTTCAAGAGTGTTCCGAGCTGGTGGTCTTGCCTCAGCTTCGTACGGAGTCAGAGTGTGTGGCATGAACGATACAGATCTCTCTAACCTTCGAGCGGCGTCGGCCTTCGCCCTCTTTGGCAAGGCCAAGGGCAGGTCCAGGCCGGTGCAGTACCTGTTGCATGATCCGCCCGACCTCGACCCAGCGTACCTGATAAACACCTTGCCCCTCACGACGTGGCTCCAGGCTCTCCATGAAGGTTGGGCCCCACAGGGCGTCATGCAGACCATCTTTGAGGCCGGCTTGTCCAAGATCAGTCTGGGGTGGGCTACAGCGTGTGGCCCTGGGGGAGCTGTTGCATTGACGTTGCGTCGTCTTGGGTGGCAAATCAGGTCTTTCAAGAGTTGGGTGGATCCTCAAGGGCTCGTGGTGGACCTCGAAAAGGTTAGCATCAAGACCCTCGAAGTGATCATCCACAGCGGCCTCAAGAGGCACAAAGAGTTGCAAGCGGCTAAGCATATGGGCTGGAATGGGACACTTTCTTGGACCCGATCAAGGCAGAGCTGCAGGACCTTCGGGCCGAAGGTCAATCTGGGTCGGCCGACCTTGTTTCAGTACACATGTCAGGAGGACTGTGGACGCAGTCAAAGATCTCCGAAGAGCGGTACTCCTTGACGTCAGCCTGCACGTGGTGTGGACATCCTTCTGGCACGATATCTCACCGACTGTACGGATGCGACTGCTTAGAGGCATGGCGTCGTGATCAAGGATATGATGAGGTCGTGTCGATCGGTCGTGAGTTTCCAGGAAACTGCTTAGTCGATTTCGGGGTCACTGACAGTATGAGAGACGCCATGCCTCCGCCCTAGCAAGAACACGAATGTCCTCGGCGTGGTCTCCTAGGCGACGGCTACCTCGGAGATGAGATCTTTATAGACGGATCGGGAATCAACCCAGAGGTGGAGTGGATGACGAGGGCAGGATGGGCGGTCGTTTCTCTCAGGCAGCGCAGCGAGCACGTCTCAGCGGTGGCCTACGGGCCAGTGCCAGGGCCAGTGCAGAGCGCAGGCTTGGCAGAGCACTACGCGTTCTACATGGCATTGTGGCATATGGGGCCCAGGGCGACTACAATCACGGACCACAAGAACCTCCTGATAGGTCTCCAGAAGGGCCCCGAGAAGATGTGCAGAGTTTCAGAACCTTATTGGGAAGTCTTGCGACTTATATGCTGGAAGTTGAATGACGCAGGCTCGGAAAATGTGAATCTTCAGTGGATGCCGTCGCACAAGAGTAAGACGTGGCTCAGGAATCACGATTTCTCGGACTCCTGGTACCCTGGAAACCGTCAGGCCGATAAGTATGCGAGGTTGGGGGCTCTAGAGCATCCCGTAGTTCCCCAGATGGCTCAAAGGATCCAGGCGGCCAAGCATTTCGGTAGGCAATTCACGAGGCTCCTGGCAGGCTCTCTGAAGCGTCTTAGTAGTGTAGGGTTTCCAGATATAGATAAGGTCCCGAGGGCTACAAAGGCTCCCAGGCAGTTTCAGATGTTAAGCGAAGAACCCCTGTGTGTGCTAAAACTCATCACGGGAGATCGAAGTCACCTGCTGCACACAGCTGACGGCAGGTGGGGATGCAGAATTTGCGGAGTGAATGCGGCACGTCGAAGTGCGGTCATCCAGTATGAGTGTCCTGGTAAGCCGAGAGTGCTTGCGAGGACGCACGAGACTCACCGAATGTGGGTGAGCGGCTCGGATTTGTATTTCTGTATGCAGTGCGGGTGCCACGCGCGGAAGCAGGTCAAGGACTTGGCCGCGCGCTGCCTCCGCTCTGCTGGGACGGGGAAGGCGGGGGCGTTGAAGTACATGCGCCAGGGCATGGATCCCACTTCCAAGAAGTTTGTGGGGCGCCCCTTCCCTGTCCACTAATTTTCCCCGTCGGGCCAGTCTTTCACTGAGGGATTGTGTTCGCAGAGGCTCCAGAGGCTCCAGAGGAGGTGGAAGAGGAGAGGAGGGAGGAGGGAGGAGGGAAGAGGGAGGAGGGAGGAGGAGGAGGAGGAGGGAAGAGGGAGAGGGAGGAGGAGGAGGCGGGAGAGGAGGAGGAGGAGGAGGAGGAGGAGGGAGGAGGAGGAGGAGGAGGAGGAGGAGGGAGGAGGAGAGGAAGAGGAGGAGGAGGAGGAGGAGGAGGAGGAGAGGAGGAGGGAGGAGGAGGGAGGAGGAGGAGGGAGGAGGAGGAGGAGGAGGAGGAGGAGGAGGAGGAGGAGGAGGAGGAGAGGAGGAGAGAGGAGGAAAGAGGAGGAGGAGGAGGAGAGAGAGGAGGACGAGGAAGAAGACCCTTTCTGGAACGCCTCACGTGCGACCGATCCTCCGGCGACAGGTCCACCCGGCCCAGCACCCGCGGCGGCACGTCGGGAGGCTGCGGGCCACCGCGCCGCGCGCCGCGCCTCCTGGCGGCCGACCTCGCCATCCCGTCGGCAAACAGGCACCGCTCCACCGCGTCCACGCCCCGCTTGGCGCTGACCTGCAGATACGACGGTCCCGGGCGCCACAGCATCGAACGCTCTCTCAAAGGGTCCTCCTCCTCCTCCCGCCTTCTCCTCCTCCTCCTCTCCTCCTCCTCCTCCTCCTCCTCCTCCTCATCCCCCATAGCAGCTCTCAGGTTGCCCCCATCTCTGCAATGATGCCCAAAAGGCCACGCGCTTGCTTACTCTCACGCAGTATCATCCTGCTCGTTCGTCTTCTTATCTTCGTCTCTCCCCCCTTCCTCCTCATTTGCCACCCCCTCCTCATCATCATCATCATCATCATCATCATCATCATCATCATCATCATCATCAGCATCATCATCATCATCAGCATCATCATCAGCATCAGCACCAGCACCAGCACCATCACCATCACCATCACCATCATCATGGGCAGCAGCATAATCATCTTCATCATCAACATCATCATCTACATCATCACCTTCACCATCACCATCACCATCCTCCTCATCATCAGCACCATCATCACCAGCATCCTCATCATCACCATCATCAGCATCATCATCGTCAGCATAATCGTCATCATCAACATCAAGCGTATCAGCATCATTATCATCATCATCATCATCATCAGCATCATCAGCATCATCAGCATCATCATCGTCACCTGCCGCAGCAACAGCAGCACCATCCAAAATTGCTATTTAACCTCATCCTCCTCCTATTCCTCCTCCTCGTCCCCCCCATAAATTCCGTTGTCCTTATAAATGACTCCTCCCTGTCGCACCCCGAATGGTTTGCCTCCCTGTCGCACCACTACCGTGTCGGTAGGGCGGGCTGGGCGTTTCGCCTGAGACTTCCTCACTATGTATGGCCCTGCAGCTTGAATTGGCAACGATTTCGCGGATGGAGGGCGGGTGGCTTCAAAATGTGGTTCTCGCCTTAGCGCCACGCACATTCGGCTGAAAAGTTTGCAACGGCTTCACGGCTTGAGGGGGGGCATTTTCACAATGTGGCTATCTCATGAGCACCGCGCACATTCGTCTTAAAAGTTTGCGACCGGTTCACTGGTGGAGGGCGGGTCGGTCCTTTTCAAATTGTGGCTTTCGTCTCAGCACCGCGCACATTCGTCTGAAAAGTTCGCAACAGTTTCACGGATGGAGGGCGGGTGATTTCAAAATGTGGCTCTCCTTAACCCCGCACACATTCGTCTTGAAAGTTTGCGATCGTTTCACTGATGGAGCGCGGCTCTGTTTCAAAATGCGGCTCTGTCGCCTTAGCGCTGCGCATATTCATCTTAAAAGTTTGCAACCGCTTCAAAGATCCGCATGGTCGAGGTCCCAGGAACGACGTTCTGGCACGATTTGGAACTGTCAGGACACGAAAGTCACGTTGATTCGCTGTGTTCAAGTCCTCGGAATGGTGTCCTGGCACAATGTAGGATTGTCAGACCGCAGCAGTTGCGTTGACTCGCGGAGCTGAAGTCCCAGGAATGACATTCTGGAACGATTGAGGAATCTCAGACGGTAGTTTTCCAATGGGGCACTTCCCGCGATGAAGAAAATTCTTGTAGGGGCCTATGAAGAGGGGACTTGGAGGGAGGGTTCATTGCAACATCGTTACTGAGTTTGTGTTTACACTGGTCCTCCTCATTCTCCTCTTCCTCCTCCCTTCCCTCCTCCTCATGCCTCCTCCTCCTCTTTCCTCCTCCTCCTCCTTCTCCTCTTCGTCCTCCTCGTCCTCATTGTCCCCCTCCTGGTCCTTCCTCCTCCTCCTCCTCCTCCTCCTCCTCCTCATCATCATCATCATCATCATCATCATCATCATCATCATTCTTCTCCTCGTACTCTGTACCCGCCCCCTCCCCCACGTAGCTCCGCTTTGCCTACACCCGAGACGCAACATCTCCGAGCACGACGTGGCGGAAGTGTGCGGCAGCACAACCAGGTAACCAGGTGCCCTTTCACGTGCGGATGCGCACGTAGGAGAATGATGATGGAGAGGGGGGAGGAGGAAAGGGAAGGAGAGAAGGAGCAGGAGGAAGAGGAGGAGGAGGAGAAGGAGGAGGAGGAGGTATGAGGAAGAAGAGGGAGCGGAGGACGGGACGGAGGCGGCAGGAGCGGAAGAAGGAGGGCGAGGAGGCAGAAATAGAAAACAGCAGGAGGATGCGGAAGGAAGAGGCGGAGGAGGGGCATGGAAGGTGGAGTAGAAAGGGCAGCTAGAGGGGGCGGAGGAGGTGGAGAAAGGAGGAGGAGGGGGAAGAGCAGCAGAGACAAGAGCCGGCGAGAACGAGGGAGGGTGGAGGAGGAAGGGGAAGAGCAGCAGCAACAGCAGAAGGCGGAGGAGGAGGATACATGGAGTCGATGGAAGGAGTGGGCGAGGGCGGGGGCGAAGATGACGCGAAGCATCAATCGCACAGTCTGGCCAGCTTCCGTGGGACCTCCGCCAAAGCAGATTCGGCTGCACGCAAGAGGTGGCCCTGGGTAAGGGTGACCTTTGCTGCGCTGCGTTGGGGGGACGCGGGCGGGGCCAAACCCAAGACTGCAAGCCGGCGCTCTCGAACCGCACTCGGCGATCGGGGCCTCCAGAGGGCCCCTACGTGTATAGAAAAAGAAACACGGCATTAACATAAACTTTTGGCGCTCCGCGTGGATTTTTTGGATCCGCGCTGGACCCCCCTCCCTTGCGCGGGGAGCACGCCAGGAGCGGCGCCGGAGGCGCCGCCAGGGGAGGCCCAGCGCGGATACAAGAAATCCGCGAGGAGCGCCGAAAGTTTATATTTATGCCGTTTTTTCCTTCTTCGGGTGTAGTCGAAGAGCTTTGGCTGCGCCCAGTCGCCTCCTCGATGTGCTTCAGCATGACGTCAGCCCTCCTCTGCCGCGCCTCGTCCCAGGGCCGCGTCTCCCTTACCAGCGGGAGGATGATCGACGGGGCGTCAACGAGCTCGCCTGTCCCCCTTCCCACTGCTGATCATCCTCCTCTTCCTCCTCCTCCTCCTCCTCCTCCTCCTCCTCCTCCTCCTCCTCCCCCTCCTCCTCCTCCTCCTCCTCCTCTTCCTCGTCGTCGTCGTTTCGTCGTTTCGGCGTCGTCGTCGTAGTCGCCACCGCCGCCGCCGTCGTCGCCGTCGTCATTTCGTCGTTTCGTCGTTTCGTCGTCATGGTTTCGTCGTCGTCGCCGTCATCGTAGTCGTCGTTTTGTCATTTCGTCGTTTCGTCGTTTCGTCGTCGTCGTTTCGTCGTCATCGTCGTCGCCGTCGTGGTCGTCATCGTCGTCGCTGTCGTCGCGGTCGTCGTCGTCGTCGTCGTCGTCGTCGTCGTCGTCGTCGTCGTCGTCGTCGTCGTCGTCGTCGTCGTCGTCGTCGTCGTCGTCGTCGTCGTCGTCGTCGTCGTCGTCGTCGTCGTCGTTGTGGTCGTCGTCGTCGCTGTCGTCGTCTTCGTTTCATCGTTGCGTCGTTTCGTCGTCGCCGCCGCCGTCGTCATCGTCGTCGTCGTTAAAATCAACCCTCCTCCAGGCACAAAGCCTGAAGCCTGAAGAGACAAACGCGAGCACGGGGACCAAAGCAGGCAGCCCACACGCACCCCCGCACCCCCCCCTGACTGCCTGCCAGACCACCCCAACCCGACCCGAAGACCCGAATGTCGGGTTGGGAGGGGCACGGGCCTCAGTTATGTGTCTTCTCAGTGTCCCCAGACCCCCCCACACACACTCGAGATGGAGGCCACATCGGGGCCTCCGGGCCGGGTCGGGGCGGCCTGGTGGGCGGTGACCCCCCCCCGAGATCGCCGCTCGCGCTTCCGCAGCTGCTGCGGGCGTCCGAGTCCGCGAGGGCGTCGTACGCCACGTTCCTCCGGCGGTGCGCGGCGGAGGCCGACCCGAGGCGCCGCCTCTCCTCGCCGGGCGGCCGCAGCGAGGCGTGCCGCTCCCCCGGCAGGCGGGCGGCCTCGAGGCCGGTGGGCCTGCGGCGGGGTGTCCACGCCCCTCCCCCCCCCCCGCCTTCGCGCGCGGCAGGCGGGGGCCTAGAGCCCTCCCACCCCCCCCCCGCATCCATCCCCCCCCCCCTCTCCTCCCCCTTCCCCCCCCCCCTCTCTTCTCTCCCACCCCCCCTCCTCCCCCTTCCCCCCATAGCCGCCCTCGGGGGGAGTCGGGAGGAGGGGGGGATGGGGAAGAGAAGGGCTTCTGGGAAGGCTCCACTCCACGGAGGAGCGGAGGAGGGCCGAGGAGCAGGGAGGAGGAGAGGGATTGAGACGAGGCAGAGGGTTGAAGGCGAGGATTGCGGAAGAGAAGGCAGTTGAGGAGAGTGAGGGGGCAGGGGGCAGAAAAGCTTCAGGAGACGGCTCAACAAAAAAACATCGAGGGCTGAGGATGAGGGTTCAGAGGGAGGATTGACGAGGTCAGTTGAAGAGATCGTGGAGAAAACGAGGTGGAAAAGCGATCGGGGAGGCCGGGCGAGTCGGAGGGAACGGAGATGGAAGCAGGAGGAGGAGCAGAAGACGAAGAGGAGGAGAACGAGGAGGAGGACGCCAGGAAGCTGGAACACACATGTAAGTGGATTCACGTCCACCGCATGTGGAGGCCACCCGCTGAACGCGCATGCGGGGAGCTGGCGTGCCCGGCCACACGAGGCGCGAGGACCGAGCGCTGGAAAGACAGTGCGGCTAGCGCATAGGCGACGCTGGAGGCGGAGGCAGCAGCGCGGAGACTGGAAGACGCCGCAGCGCCGAGCCGACGCGCGCCACTGCCTGCCCGTGAGCACCACGGCGTGCCTGTCAGCACCACAGCACCACTGTCACGACCGAACGCTGGAAAGACAGTGCGGCCAGTGCACAGCATAGGCAACAGAAAAAAATTACTCCGACGGAAGGACCCCACATGATAATCTCTTTAGCTTGCATGGGGGTATCCTCCTGCCCCTTCCCTTCTCCCACCTACTCTTGCCTCCTCGTTCTCCTCCTGTCTGCTCCTCCTCCTGCCTCAACCCCTGCCTCTTCCTCTTCTTCTTGCCTCCTCCACCTCCTCCCCCTCCCCCTCGTTATGCTTCCTCCCCCCATTCCCCCTGCCCCTCCTGCCTCCTGCCTCCTCCTCCTGCTCTCCCTCTCCCTTCTCCTTCCTCCTCCTCCTCCTCCTCCTCCTCCTCCTCCTCCTCCTCCTCCTCTCCCTCTCTCATCCGCTTCCTCCTCCTCCTCCTCCTCCTCCTCCTCCCCCTCCTCGTCCTCGTCCTCCTCCTCTCCCCCTCCTCCCTCTCCTCCTCCTCCTCCTCCTCCTCCTCCTCCTCCTGCCTCCTCCTCCTCCTCCTCCTCCTCCTCCTCCTCCTCCTCCTCCTCCTCCTGCCTCCTCCTTAGGCCTCCTGCCCCCTCCTGGGGCCTCCTGGGGCCTCTTGGGGCCTCCTGGAGCCTTCTGGGCCTTCCGGGACCTACTGGGGCCTCCTCGGGCATTCCTCCTCCTCCTTTTCCTCCTCGTCCTTCCTCCCCTCAGCCTCTTCCTCTTCCTGCTTTCCTGTCTCGTCCTGCATCATCCCTCCTCCTTTTCCTGGCAATCCTCCTCCTCCTCGTCCTCGTGCGGAACACGACCCAGAGGAAGCGCCCAGCCGCGCGCCGGAGGATGACCCGGAGGAACCACGTGAGCTGCGGGACCCATAGGAAGGCTCCCGCCTGACGCGTCCTCACAATTCACTCACAGACGAGGGTCCCGCTTGATACTTCTTCCAAATTCAGACCTGAGGAGCCCAAAAGTGACGACGGTTACAGGAATCCGATGACCCGCTCGGATTAGTAACATGATCTGCGGGCCCCATAGGGAGGGGGCTCCCGCCTGAGACTTGCTCGCAATTCACTCACAGCGAGGCTCCCGATGATACTCCTCCAAATTCGACTGAGGAGCCCAAAAGTGACGACAGTTCAGGAATCCGATGACCCGATCGGATTAATAACATGATCTGCGGGCCCCATGGGGTGGGGGCTCGCTGAGACTTCTCGCAATTCACTCACAAACGAGGTCCCGCTTGATACTTCCTCCAAATTCAGACCTGAGGAGCCCAAAAGTGACGACAGTTACAAGAATCCGATGACCCGCTCGGATTAATAACATGATCTGCGGGCCCCATAGGGAGGGGGCTCCCGCCTGAGACTTCCTGGCAATTCACTCACAAACGAGGCTCCCGCTGATACTTCCTCCAAATTCAGACCTGAGGAGCCCAAAAGTGACGACAGTTACAGGAATCCGATAACCAGCTCGGATTAATAACATGATCTGCGGGCCCCCATATGGAGGGGGCTCCCGCCTGAGACTTGCTCGCAATTCACTGACAGACGAGGCTCCCGCCTGATACTTCCTCCAAATTCAGACCTGAGGAGCCCAAAAATGACGACAGTTACAAGGAATCCGATGACCCGCTCGGATGAATAACATGATCTGCCGGCCCCATAAGGAGGGGGCTCCCGCCTGACGCGTCCTCACAATTCACTCACAGACGAGGCTCCCGCTTGATAATTCTCCAAATTCAAACTTGAGGAGCCAAAAAATGACGACAGTCAGGAATCCGATGACCCGCTCGGATTAATAAAATAATCTGCGGGCCCCATGGGGAGGGGGCTCCCGCCTGAGACTTCCTCGCAATTCACTCACAGACGAGGCTCCCGCTTGATACTTCCTCCAAATTCAGACCTGAGGAGCCCAAAAGTGACGACAGTTACAGGAATCCGATGACCCGCTCGGATTAATAACATTATCTGCGGGCCCCATAGGGAGGGGGCTCCCGCCTGAGACTTCCTCGCAATTCACTCACAGACGAGGCTCCCGCTTGATACTTCCTCCAAATTCAAACCTGAGGAGCCCAAAAGTGACGACAGTTACAGGAATCCGATGACCCGCTCGGATTAGTAACATGATCTGCGGGCCCCATAGGGAGGGGGCTCTCGCCTGAGACTACCTCACAATTCACTCACAGACGAGGCTCCCTCTTGGTGGATGATGGTGATGGGATGATGACGACGGTGTACGATGATGATATATAATGATGATGATGATGATGATGATGATGATGATGATGATGATGATGATGATGATGATGATGATGATGATGATGATGATGATGGTGGTGATGATGATGACGACGTGATGATGATGATGGTGGTGATGATGAGTGCTGATGGTGAGTGATCGTGCGATTCTGATGGTAAATGGTGGTGATGATGATGGGGACGAAGTGGTGAGTCAGCGAGTAGTGATGATGATGATGATGATGATGATGATGATCGTTCGATGCCGATGATGGTGAGTGATCGTGCGATGGTGATGGTGATGCTGATGGTGATGATGATGATGAGTGGGGAGTGATGGTGATGGTGATGATGATGCGGAGGAGGAAGCAAAGAGGAGCAGAGGAGAGGGAGGAGGACGAGAGATCCTGCGCGGAGGGTGTGCAGAGAAAACAAGAACCCCACTTAGGATGTGGGGAAAAAATCTCAGAAGGCGCGAGGGCTTCTGAGAAGCCCCGCCGCCTTCTGAGAAAGCCTTCTCCTTCTGATTTCCCCCCTCGCTCGCCGCCGAAAGACGCCGAGGTGGCCCAAGACCGCTCGAGAGACTCCCAATACAGCCCGTGGACAGATTACGTAACAGGTCCCCAAGACGGCCCAAGAGAGGTCCCCAGACTTTGGTTCGAACACAACCTCGGCCCCCAAAGGTCTCGACCCCGTCCCCGGCACCGGTCCCTCATCCTCTGCCTTTTGGTGGACTGCCCCGAGGCCAAGTGAGGGCCCCCCAAGGGATGGAAATAGCAGCAACAACAACAACAACGACGACGACAACAACAGCACCACCAGCAGCAGCAACGACAACGACAACGATAACGACAACAACAGCGACAACAACAACAGCAACAACAACAACAGCAGCAGCAACAACAACAGTAGCAGCATCAGCAACAAGACCAACACCAACAACTACCACTACTACTACTGCTACTACTGCTACTACTGCTACTACTGCTACTACTGCTACTACTACTACTACTACTACTACTAATAATACTACTACTACTACCACTACTACTACCACTACCATTACTACTACCACTATTACTACTACTCCTACTACTACTACTACTACTACTACTACTACTGCTACTACCACTACAACTACTACTATTACGACTACTACTACTACTACTATACTATTATTATTACTACTACTACTACTACTACTACTACTACGACTACTACTACTACTACTACTACTACTACTACTACTACTACTACTACTACTACTATTCTACTACTACTACTACTACTACTACTACTACTACTACTACTGAAAAACTACGACTAACTACGACTTTCGAGACCTACTTACGATGCTCGAGATTTTGTTTGCTACTAATACGAGACTACTACTACTTACTACTACGACTACTCTAGCGACTAATACTAATAATCTACTACTATTACTGCCTACAGATTCTGCTACTGACTACCTTGCTACTGCTACTACTACGGATAAGACTACTCCTACTACTACTAACTACTATACTACTTCTACTAAGACTCTACTACTACTACTTACTACTACTACTACTACTACTACTACGACTACGACTACGACTACGACTACGACTACGACTACGACTACGACTACGACTACAACTACGACTACGACTACGACTTCGACTACTACTACTACTACTACTACTACTACTACTACTACGACTACGACTACGACTACTACTACGGCTACTAACACTACGACTACTATTATTACTACTACTACTACTACTACTACTACTACTACTACTACTACTACTACTACTACTACTACTACTACTACTACCACGGCGGCGACGGCGACGACAACAACCAACATTTGAATAATGCTCGCTCCTATCTGCCCGCAGGCCAGTCAACACGTATAGTCCAAATCCTCGATACCAGCCCTCTTCGTCTTCGATCCTACCCCCCTGGGGGAT